CTCTTCCTCGCTCAGCTTCATGCCACATATAACACGACACACTTCCTGATACGCATTCGTGTAGGTAGGTATAGTAAGATTGAAGGTCCACAGTTGTCATTTGTAGAAAGCCACATTTGTATTTAAAAACGGTGTTGGCAAAAACTGTTGCAAGTCGAAAGTGTAACACCTCTTACTCTTAGTTATGTCATTCGCAGCAATTTTTTTATCTGTATCTTTCATAACATAGGCATTATCTACTTCCTGGTGATGTTGATCTAATTCGGCTTTTAATAAAATTGTATCATCTTCAGAAGCGAACTTCATTTTTGTTGCCAGGACATCGCATTTATGACAGGTATCCACCTTAGGTTGCTTAAAAGAAAGCTTTAATTTACGAAACTCTCGTGCATAGATGGTATGGCACACAGGAGAACTTACGACATCTTTATACATATTATACAAAATTGTTATATTTAAATAAGACGGTAAATATTTCTTATCAGAAGTGCGTCTGGTATAATGGGACTCATACGAAGGGAAAGACAAAATATGTTTGTGAACTTCATTCAACTTTTTAAGTGGGGTTTTACTAGCAGTTGGATATTTTCCTCTTTCGTCGGTCCCGAGAATTCCATTGACAGGAGACGTGAGGCTGTTATTAATAGTAAGGGTCACAAACATTTGTGTTTCGTCGAGGGTTTTCATAAAACACCCTCGGCACACTTTAATTTGTTTTCCATTTACTTTAAAATGGAAAGAGTGTGTGAACTTCCTACATTTGTCTTTGTCGATGTCTGATGTTCTCTTTCTTGATGTTTTGGGTATATCAGACTCAACAAGACTACTTACAAATGTGGCCCTTTTATCCCTGCTACCAAGAGACCAATAATTATTGAATATATCTTGCCTGACTGAGTCATCTAACTTTTCAGCACAGAGATTTCGACACTTCGTTAGCGGTTTCATTTCTCGCGACCGCACCTCTTTTCCATCTAAAGTAGTATAACTTTTGCCACTGTTTCGTTTTTCATACTTCTCCTTCCTCATGTTCCTAGTAAATTTAGGTTCACTTATTTTTTGTTTTGTGTTCGTTGGATGACCTTAATAATTTGTGTTTTAAGGTAGAGGGGCCAGCAATTTGATGAGTAACATTCACTTCATCATCCATCAAATTTTGCGTGTCTGTATTTTGTAGTGTAAAACTTGAACTCTAGTTCAACAAGATGATCACCATTCACCGCTAATTCGGGTTGATTTTTTTCTTGATTAGGTATTAATAACAATAATTCTTCATTAACGTTCAGTAATGTAAGGTCAAAATCCCCATCATCGGTGCCTTCTAAATGAATAATTCCATTGTCCCTGTTACCTAAAATAAATCAAATAGCCAATGCAATATTCATAATCCGCAACCATGTAAGTAAGGTTCTTTTCAAATTATTTGGTAAATCACCAATTTTTAATGACCTACCTAAACAGGTAAGAATTTCTACTAGGTTCTACTATTCAATTATTATAATATTTCATGTATATGTTTACTTTGCTGCTACTTGACGTAAAACACTGGGATAAAGGAATTAAGTCATTTACCCAATAATTTGAACAAAACAATAAATTGATTTATGACAAGATGTGAGAAATATTACCTTCACTGGTTGTATTGCTAGTGTTGTGTTCTTCAATAAGATTATTATTACTGTTGATTGTTATTACGTTTTGGTCAACACTTGTATAATCAGTGATACTTTCTAAAATAATAAAAAGTTTTTACTACAGAATAGATACAAATGCTGTAATTCGGGCTCATACATTATAAAATTAAATGGAAATATCCATTAGTTGGATTACATTTGTTTCAGTATTTTCGGGTTTCTCTTCTGCCAAAATATAAACATAATAAATTGCATGGTTGTGGGTAATATGGCGTAGCAACCGTAACGTAAATAAAAACTTTTCTACCTTTTTTATTACTTGCTATTGAACCCTTATTTACTTCATAAAGAAGACCCATAATTTTATCGGTTCTCTTTACAAAATAAGACATTTTCTAAACCACACTTGAAGCACCTCTCGTAGTTTAATTCTAATTATGTATTAAAACAAATAACACGAACAAAACGATGTAAACAAATACAATGCACGTGTGTATTTGAGGTTAACTTGTAATCTGCAATACACAAATCATTGGTGCCAACAGTACAAGTCAATAATATAAGTGTCAGACAAACTGCACCTAGTAGTATAAGTTGACTTGTTCTTTTAATACATAATGAAGAATTTTCTCACGCAGTTATACTATTATACACATATTGAAATCAAACAAGCCTAAAATTTGTTTTTTCGACTTATACTCTTGGGAACATGAAGAAAAATAGTTGGGCTGTACGACCAGTGACAAAAAAAAATTTCAATTTTTGACTTATACTCTTAGTAACTAACACCTTAGTTTATTTTAATTAGTTTTCTTACTAAACTGTTGAAACTACCAAAAGTGTTAGGGTGTATAAATTAACACGTTCACGCCGCTACCAGATATATGGGTCTGGTATAAACTTTACGTTCAACCGGCACTGAAATTTGGAGATATTGCGCTAGCGCCGACAACGAAAAAATGGCTAATTATGAACTAAATATTATGATATAGGTACCTACGGAATCGTCATGATGTGCTTTATATTTTAGTTCTGTTTTAAGTTACCACATGCCAGCACCTGGTAACGTCCCACAAAGAAATTTTTTACGCTATGGAATTTACCAGAACTCCATATCTGGTTATTAGTGTTATAGTAAACATTGTACAAGTCTGTTGTTTTTTTATTAAAATCCATAAAAATGTTGTCTAGAGGCGAAAAAATGGTGCTAAACAAGCACCAAAATGCTTGTATACAAACTGAAAGTGAATCTGATAGTGATCCATTTGAAAACTTGTCTGATGAAGATCCTGAATACATTCCTAGTGAAGATAGCGACAATTCTGATGGGGACGAATCCATATACTTGAATGAAGAAGTATCCAGTGATATAGAAACTGATAATTATGAATCGGAAAAAGAAATTGGTAAGAAGAAAAATGAATCCTTTAATTTGATTCTCATTATCTTTATTTTTAGGTGATGCTGAGGAAGATGTATGGACTGACATTCAGGAAACAGATAAATTAGATTTTGATGAATATCCAACAGATTCTAAAATAAATATTCAATGTGAAAATATGAGCCCGTTGGATATTTTTTGTCTATTTGTCACAGATGAAATTTTGGAATTAATTGTTCAAGAAACCAATAGTGACGTAGTTTGGATGTTCCTCTAAAATTTGATTTATGACTATACTATTAAGGGCCGGTTCTACAATGCTAGTATATACTGAGAATAAAGTTATAGGTACCTACTTGGAATAACTTCATTAATGGTGTTCTACAAACAAAGAATAAACTAGGAATAAGATAATCGGAGTATATCTGTAGAATAACTTTATCCCTCCAAAGTTTAGCAGATATACCGAGTATAAATTTATACTGCATTTCTATTGGTCGGTCAGGGGTTGTCAAATCTGTAATATTTTAACCTCACTTTGTTTTTATCTATAAAATAAAATTTTTGATATTGCACAAACATTTTAGATTGTAAATCCAAAGGAAATTTTATTAGGCAATCCAAAGGAAAAAGAAAGCATTTATTATTTCAATTCTAAAATTTTAGGATATGTATGTAATGTAATAACGTCTACACATATGACTAGTATAATAGTATAGGTATAATCTTACCAAGGCAATATATTTTTTAATGTTTTGATAACTGAGACTGTAATTCTAGAATCTGTATTATATAAACATTTCTTTAACTAAAATTATTTATTAATCTCAGTTGATGATAACAAAAAATTTAAGAAGGAAATTTTACATCTTTTTTTATCCATTTTATATTAATTTTGAAAAGTATAATAATATAAACGTAGATAAAATACCAGATAAAGCGAATCAATTATTCAATTCCTTTCAATTGTAAACAAATTTTACAGTTATGACAAATGCCAAATGTCGCTGTCAATAACAATTTGAACTAACTTTGAAGACATCAGATCTACTATTTCGTTTTACCTTAGTGTTCTGTGGTTATACCCAGAATAAATATTCCGCTGTCGATTTCACAATGTAGAACGCTCGGAAGGTTATACTTGGAATAAACTCAAGTATAAGTTATACCTACTCAGAATAACTATTCTCCAATTTATACCTGGAATGTAGAACCGGCCCTAAATGATGCTAACTCCGAATAAAAGGGTATATTCACATCACAGGAAACAAAGTGATCAAAGTAGTCGGTCTCTAACTTTTTTTGTGGTTTTAAGCTCACGTTTCTTAATCCATCACAAATAGGAGGAGAGTGTTTATGAATCCAAAAAGGCTTAGTTAGTTCGAATAGAGGTTCGATTGCTTCAGCTCTTAACGGTTCAACTGGTGTAGATTTCATTGCTCCCAGACATATTCTGAGTGATTTGTTTCGTATAATATAACTTTAATCAGTTAATTTTAAGTAGATAATTTATTATATTAATATGCACTAATTATGATTTTATGTTTCAGGCATCCTACAAAAAAAAATCCAAAAAATCAACAAAAAAAAATGACTTCGGCCACCAAAAAAATTAAAAAACTACTAACAAAAACCGGCGCAAGCCACAAAAAAATATTAACAAAAACCATTAAAATCCCGGGCACGTAGAGGGCCCAACCCCTTGAGCACCAAGTCGCCGAACAGAGCCTAGCTCAGAGCTGAGACTTAAGGCCCAAGTAAGCAATTTTAGTTCGCGTTTTTTTTTTGTAAAAATACATAATTTAGTTTTGAAATCAGAAATATTTACTCCATGTAATTCACTCCATGTTTTAATATGTTTGACTCCTTCTTCAATGGATTTGACAAGCAGAGTGGGCATTCTGACTGTTTATTATTCTGTGATAATGCCGTCAATTGAAACATGACGTTTATTTATACGTCCAATTCGTCAAATTAACAACTCCAATACAAATTCGAAACTGTCATTAAACTGTCAATATGTCCTCAAAGAACATGAACTGATTTCTTTTAGTTTTATTAGTCCAAATTTTAAGTTTTTTAATGTACTCCAGCATTAAATAAATTACATTAATGCATTTTAAAGATTTCACAGAAGAGTTTTATCAGTACCCCCATCAAATTTCATACTCACAACTGTTAAGAAGCCAACATCACTCATTTGAATCTTTTAGCAAAATTGTTAAAAGCGCTAAAAATCCACCCACAGCTTCCAGAAACAGAAAGAATAAATGTCATGGGAGGGTTTTAAAGAACATTTTTACTCAACTAAAGAACAAAACCAGTACGGAGTTAGGACAGTTTCTTGATCTAAATGCAATGAACGGAGTTGCGGAAACATCCAGTTTTTCACCATTCAAAAAACCAATGGCAAGCAAACAAAAATTTCAAGTTTTTACGTCAAAAATGGGGAATGAAGATAAATTGATATTAAATAAAGTTGCAGATTCCAAAAGGCAAAAAACATTCAAACAAGTTAATATAAAAGAAGTATCGAAAGATGATTTGGATGATGTTTCAATTATATTACCATTTTCTGGTATGTAGTTTTACACAACACTTTCCTATAAACTGTAAGCTTATGAAAAGAAAATGAATTCCATGTAGATGTTAATATTAAGTACAACTTTATTTATTATTCATTCTCCCATAATTCTACCTACTTCAAACACGTTGCGTGCTGATTCTAAGACTTGTGCTCTGACATGAAACTTATTTTTTAATAAAACTCATAAAAAATAATTAATAAATAATTATTAGTAATTGAAGACTACAGGGGAAAAACGCTATAAGTCAATTTTTTAAATTTTTGGAAAACGCGATTTTTAGATTCAAAACTTCATAATTCATAAATAAACATGCTAAACCACTATTGTATTGAGTATTTGACAACTCATATATGCAGAGTATGATATTATAAAATTGAAATTGTCATGTACAGTAGGTAATGAGAGAAATTTAAAAAAAAAACAACCAAAGGTCTGGAGGAAAAAGGCAAAAACGCTGTAATTGACAAAATAATATAATATGAATTCAACGAAAGAAAAAAATAAGCAGAACTGGACTTGTTTAACTTAACTTAAGCTAAAAACATTAATATTATCTGTTAAATGAATCAATAACATTGTAAAATTCTTAAGATAAAAAATAAGTCATGTTTTTTTTAGCTGATCAAAATACATTCTTCCTTTTTCTGAACCAAACTTTTTTAAAACTTGGAGATCTTTGTATTTTGCCATTGGAATGGGCAGTGACTCAGTATAGGATCGAGAAGGAAAAACGAATTCTTTTCTAGTATACGGTGGTTCCCTACCAGTCACTTTTTTGTTAATGACAGCCGAAACCATTGTTCCATTGAAGGTGTCTCTGAAATAAATTAGTCTGGGATGTTGCTTTGAAATGCTTAATTCTCTTATTGATCTAGTTTTAAAAGGTGCTTTTTTAACATACATAGGTGCAAGAAAAGTGTCCCAGCTACGCACCAAGTATTTATCAACCACTTCTACTTTATAAGGCACATGTTTTTGACGAGCCAATCGTAACACTGCTTCCCAATCTTCTGGGGTTTCTGCTGCACTTTTTTGATTAACGATACCAAAATCTTTATCTGTCTCCATGTAAGAGTGACCTCTTATAGGAAAGGTCACAGAAATAGGGTGGAATCTGTTTATTTTATGGACTAAATAATGTTGAAACCGGAATACCGTCCAATTTTTATTTTGGCCTCCACACGAATCACAGAAAATCACTAAGTTATGAACTTCAGGAGGAAGCTGGATTATCACATAGTCATACAGGAATGAGCAAACTTCATTGGCACCCTTTCGAGCTACTGTCTCAGGGTACGTAGAGATCCTTGCTCGTAGTTTAGCTTTTGTTTTTCGTTTGTAAAATGTTTGTGCTTTCAGCAAGTGAAGTTTATGCGCTGTTTTAAGTTTATTAATTAATTTTTCATCTTTACATTCCCTTACTTTTATTTTGGAAGCATCACAAATGCTGCAAGTGTCGGTTCTCGGATAACAAAAGGAGATATTAAGGCGTGTGTTAAATGTTTTTCTATATACTTCATAGCACACTGCTCTATTGGGATGTTTCTCAAGGAACATTTTGTACATCTTTTTAATGTTAAGTTCCTCTGGAAGGCACTTCCTGCTAGATTCTTTTAGGCTGAGGTGACTCATGCGTCCTTTGAATGATTTTATGTAATTTAAAATTAACTGCATAGTTTCTTCAGACAATTTATTGAGTCTTGAGCTATGTTTACCTCTATTGTCTTTGGTGGTTGTATCATGTTTTAGGGCTTTTTGTTCAGTTTGTAATCTTCTCGTGGATATGCCATGAAAAGCAACAAAATCTTTTTGACAAACCTGAACGTCTTTTGCAGGTGATGTATGCCCCTCATCATTAGTTACCGCAAGGCGAATTCTGTAATAAAAAGAGCCATCTCTTACGTTGCAATTTTCTTCATCTTTTCTTGGTCTTCTTTGAGTTACAGGAAGTATGGATATTAGACCACCTAAATACATACTTTGCTCGTCCCAATTCAGCATAGAATTAAAATTACGAATAATTGTATTTCTTTGTTCAACCGTTATATTTTCAAAACACTGATAAAGTTTGCAACGGCAGTCCTCGCCTGTTTCGTGAGTTTGCACTTTTAGCGCTTTAGCTACATCACGTATTCGCTCAAAACTTTTTCGTGTTCTTGTAGTTTTTGACTGTAAAGCCTCTTCAATTTCGCTGTCCTCACTTTCCATATTAATAAACAATAGTTGAAACTTATCAAACGTTAAAAAACAAACTGTGATTATGATAATATTAATACTTAAATAAACAACTTGGATGAATGCTGAACACTGACTGTGATTTTCCGTTGTAAATTGTCCCTACGGACAGGCGCATTGAGCACCTAAATATGACTTATAGCATTGTTGCCTAGTTTAACCTTGACTTGCAGCACCCTTCCATTGTATAGCATTATTTTATTCGTTTGTAACGTTTGACTTATTGCACTTTTATTTTGTTTGATATTTGTGGATTGTACTACGTGTATCCAAGTATCGAAAAATGTATTCCTCAAGAAATCGATAAAAATTTACTTACAGCGTTTTCCCCCTGTAGTCTTCAATTATAAATACTAAATTATAGTGAAACAATGAAACATTTTTGCATGTATGCCACCAGATATACGATAAAGGTACTTGCACCAGGAGCAGATGGCGCACATGTATGTCGCAGGGAGAAAATTTAAAATATATGTTCTTTACAAATTAGCCTTAAGCAATACAAAAAACTTCTATAACAGCAGTTTTCTCCACATTTGGAACAAAATCTTCAACAAATGGAATTTCATAATACATTCTCCTCTGGTAAATCCTCGTCACAGCAGCTTTCTCCACCTTTGGAACAAATCTTCAACAAATGGAAACTTCCCAAGTTACACCGCCATCCATGAATCATTCAGATTCTAATACTGAGACATGTTTGAATTTAGACAAGAAGTTTATGGATAATTCTATTCCAACTCCGTTCAAAAAATTTTTATTTTGGCCTACACCTAAGGAAAATATTGCTAAGCGTAAAGTGATAAAGGATAAGGTACCTGCCGTAGCAACTTCATCTCAGTGGCAACAATATTACAAGAAAAAAGAAGAAAAGAAAAAACAAGAAGAGAAGCTAAAAGTACAGCGGAAATAAAAACGCATCCAAAAGAAAGAAGTGGAAAACGAAAAGAAAAAAAAAGTTGCTTTTTCACAAACTTTGAATAAAATAATTTCTAATCGCAGGACAAAGACTAAATTGAAAAATGTCACGAAGGATCTATTTTCCACACAGGAAATGCAAGAAAATAAATGCATGTTAATTAGCGAACCTTCAACATCTAAATCTTTACTGTAATGCATGGAGGTCAGCCTCCATGCATTACTAAGAATTCATATTATAAGATAACAATTTTTGTGTATAGTTCTTCATACATTTCGTGACTTTCAGTTTAAGTCGTATAAATACTGTCATTTTACTACATACAGATTTGTAGGTGGTATCGATAAATCTGCAAAGTTCGTCGCATGCCGTAAAATAAATTCAAGGAGCAATTTAAACATGAATTCAAATTCGCATTCATCGATATTAATTAAAAATGAGAGTAAAGAAGAAGGAATACTAATGGATATATACAATAATATAACAAAAGGTAAGCCTATTATTAAATTTTAAGAATAAGTATAACCAAAAAAATTAAAATTTTTTTGTTTAAAAATGTTGTTTAAGGAGTTTAGTCATTTTCAATTGAAAACAGAGTAATCCGTAACCAAATAGATTACATAATGGTCAACAAAAGATATCACAATGCAATCATCAGTGCAAAAACATATCCTGGAACTAACATCAATTCATCAATTCATCAATAATGAAGTTGTTGCAAAATTTCGCGCAAGATGGAAACTAATAAAGAAACAAAAACCTCAACACCAATTATTAGACATCCAATTATTGAAAAACGACACCATACATCACACAGTAAATAAAGAATTAAACAAAAATTTAGGAAATATCGACCACAATAGAATTAGCGAGTACGATGACATAAACGTTCTGTGGAAAACTATTAAAGAACAAATGAACAATGTAACGGAAAAACATCTAAAAATAACACCTAAAAATAACAAACACTAATGGATGACAGAAGAGATTTTATAATTAATGAACAAACGAAGAGAATCTAAAGGAAAAAATAACAAGGACGGAGAATACAAAAGACTAAATAGAATAATTCGAAAAAAACAAATAACCGAAGCAAAAGAGAAATGGCTGGAAACAAAATGCGTTGAAATAGAAGAACTGCAACAAAGGCACGATTTTTTTAATTTACATAAAAAGATAAAAGAGTTTACATCGACTACCAAGAGAACGACTTTTCACACCATGATGAACATGGCTGGCAAACTGCTAGAATCAACGGAAGATAAACTGAAAGAATGGGAAAACTATATTAAAATTCTTTTTCACGACATACGAGAAGAACTAAGATTGGAAAATAACAACGAAGGGCCAAAAATTCTGAAATCTGAAATCATAAATGCAATTAATCATCTCAAAACAAATAAAAGCCCAGGTCCAGACGGAATATACCCAGAAACGTTAAAATTAATCAGCGAAGAAAATATCGAAATATTTGTCCTTTTATTCAATCGCCTTTATGATACAGGTAAAATACCCCAATATTGGCTGGAGTCAATATTCATCCCATTACCAAAAAAGCCAAACCCACAACACTGCAATGAGTTCCGTCTGATAAGCCTTATGAGTCATGCAGTAAAAGTCCTACTAAAAATCGTACATAATCGTATCTATAGAAAGTGCGAAACAATAATCGGAGACGATCAGTTTGGATTCAGAGCCGGCATGGGAACGAGAGAAACCCTGTTCAGTTTACTAGTTCTCGCCCAAAAATGCTACGACCAACAGAAAGATATATTTATATGCTTTATAGACTTCGCAAAAGCATTTGATAGAGTAAGATTTGACCTACTATTAGAACGTTTGCAAGAAGTCGGTTTAGATGGAAAAGACATCAAATTTTTAAAAAAACTTGTACTGGAACCAAAACGCCAGAGTTAGGATCGAAGGTTCCACATCCGCAGAAGTAGAAATAAGGAGGGGAGTTAGACAAGGATATGTTCTGTCGCATTGCTGTTTCATCTTTACTCCGAGTTTCTATGTAAAGAAGCATTGGAGGATTCCAAGGATGGAGTCAATGTGAATGGCGTAAATATCAACAGTATCAGATACGCCGATGATACAGTGTTAATTGCGGATTCCGACTTGGGTCTACAACGACTCATCGACAAGACCAACTCGACCTGTTAGCAATTTGGTATGAAAATAAACATTAAAAAAACCAAAGGGATGTCAATCCGAAAAAACCAAAACGTACCTCAACCTTGCACAATAAATGGACACATTTTAGAACAGGTCAATAGATTTAAGTACCTGGGATGTTAGATCGATAGCAGCCTAAATCCTGATCTAGAAATAAGATCGAGAATAGAACAGGCCAGAAAATCTTTCGAAAAAATAAAAAAACTGCTTTGTGATTCTCGAATAAAACTCGAAATTCGACTACGTTTATCAAAATGCTACGTCTGGTCGACTCTTCTATATGCAGTTGAAACGTGGACCCTTAAAACATCAACCGTAAATAAATTGACGGCCTTTGAAATGTGGATCTACCGGAGAATACCCAAAATTTCATGGACATCGCATACCTCAAACGAAGAAGTGCTGCATAGAATAGGCAAGGAAAGAGAACTTTTTAACACAGTAAAAGTTAGAAAAACATCATACCTAGGCCACATACTGAGAAATAATAAGTACCAATATGCCCAACTTATAGTGAAAGGAAAAATCGAGGGAAAGAGAGGCCTAGGAAGGAAAAGACTATCGTGGCTCAGAAACATCCGACAATGGACTAGGCTAAATTTTGAACAGCTAATAAGAACAGCTGAAGATAGAAAAGAGTTTAAAATTGTAGTAGCCGACCTCCATTGAGGAGAGGGCACTTTAAGAAGAAGAAGAAGTCATTTTCAAAATGTGTTGAACATAATATAGAATTTATTGATCATTTTTATTTTTCATTATTATCTTGTATTTATGTTTAATTGCTTTATTTCATATATTTCATTATAATGTATTTAAAAATCAAAAAATTTCTCTTAGGAAAGAAATCGAACTCCAGTCATTCGCTTGAAAAGTAAAAAAGTAAATAGTTGTGAAGATAGCCACTGTTTTAGTGACGTCAATCCAAAGGAGTAAATATAACTCCTTGTATGTGAATATAAAATTACATTCTATTCTCCGTACAATTTGTTATATTTTCTCACCTTTAAAATCTTTCTTGGACTACAAATAATATTTCAAAATCAAAATTAGCCAAATTGTTTCAGTTGTTCTCGAGTTTTTATAAAAAACGTTTGTTTGACGTCATTTTTCTCATCCCATCTCCTTTCATCTTATTATTTTATTTCTCTATTATTATTTCTTTTAAATTTGTTAACAAGATATGTTTTTCTGACGAAGTAATATTTACAATGTGTGGAGATGTAAATCACCAAAATTTAAAGTATTTGAGGGAGGTAAATAAACACTGGATGCGTAAAAACCATACTCAAAGACCACCACAAAAAATAAATGTCTGGTTGGGTATAGTAGGTACTCAGTTAATTGGGCCATTTTTTACAGAAGAAAATTTAACAAATGCAAATCATAAAATGCTTAGAAATGAAATTGTACCTGGCCTGAAAACAAGTTTAAAGCCAATTTTAATAAGATGTGGTTTCAAAAAGACAGAGCTCATTTTTTCGTAAATGTTCGACGTTATTTAGATCAGGCGTAGAGGAGATTTTGAACACACATTAGGTAGACATTAATTTAGCAATGTAGTAAACTTTTAATTATTATTATTACGTTTTTCTGTGGGTTCTTTCAGGCTATTTGCACCTTCATAAGGACAAAGTCTCTCCAGGTGGACGACCTTCGGCTTACTTCCTGAAGTTAGTTGCATCCTATATACAAGGTCATTTATCTTCTTAGTAACCAGGTACGGTCCCTCCCAGTTCACTGCAACTTGGGACTTATACCTTTCCTTCTGGTTCGTTGGTTGAGCCAAACTCTATCACCTTCCTTGAAGCCAACGGGATTTCTGATCGAATTTGACCTTCATCCGGTCACTAATGAGTTGTAGCTTATTCTTGGCGAAATCATAGATCTTAAACAGTCAATCTTTTAGGCCGCTGACATACTCAGCGAGTGTCTTTTGCTGCGTCTCTCCGTGTGGTAGATTGCTATGTAGGACATCGCTAAAATGTAACCAGTTGCTTCATGTTGGGAGCTTGAATAGCTAGCAAAAACAACAGCAGTGGTTTTGTCACATTCTCTCTCATTTTTATGTACAAACAGGAACAGGTGGTAGTTGATATTCGGTTATGTCTTTTTACTTCGATTCGAAGTAAAACCATGATCAGAAGGAAGCAGAAGTCCATGGAACCCCATATCGGGAAACCATATTCTCAAGCAGGGCCTCACCAACTGTGATTGCTTCTTGGTTGAGTAGTGCAACGTCTTCTGGCCATTTGGAAAAATAGTCCATAGCAACCATTAAATACTTGTTTGCTAATGTTGTTACTGGAAATTGTCCCAGAATGTCAACAGCAACTTGTTCCCATTGAGTCCTGGTGATGTATTGTTTTGGGTCCTCGTTTTGGGTCCCTTTTTGGATGCACACAGGTCATACCGTTTGCATAATTCTTCCAAATCTCGTCTACAATTAATCATTCTGATTGATACGGGCCCCCTTTCACAAACTCTGGCCAGGATTCTATTAATTCCAAAATGCTCCTGGGAGGCTATTATGGAGTTCTACAAGTACGTCCTTAACACATGTCTTAGAGTTAACAACTTTGAGGCACTGTTCTTGTTTCATCTGGACTCTTCCATTTAGGAGTGATGCCGTCATCTCGCAGACAAAACAAGTCCCGCTGAAGCCGATAGCCCTTCATTGCTTGCCTATATTGGGCAATCTCCTGCCACTATGGCCTAGCTTCGTTGTCCAGCCACTCACGGACTATTTTTAGATCTGGTCACTTTTGTCGTCTGGAGTTTTAATCTGTAGAATCTAGCCCTATCGTTCTTCTTGTCGCTTGTAGAATCAGCAATTCCTCTCTTTGCATGGTTTTCTCGGGAGACCGTATTCTTATTCTAAGCTTCTTCCCGCTAGGTGCCAAAGTTAAAATAATTAGTCTGTGGTTTTTCCAGTCATCGAGCTATCTGGCCTTTAGGTGTCTTGAAATTGAGAAGCCATTGCAAGATGGAATGGTCAGATCTTATCAAGAATTTTCTGCCATAGAGGAACCAGTGATAGTATTCTACTACTTTAACGACCGCCAATAACTCCTTTCTGATGACACAGTAGTTTCTTTTCGTTTTTTCCAGAGTTTTACTGAAGTATCCTCCAAAAATCTTCCAAAATCTTTTTCGCAGCAACGATAGTGATTATAAAGGTCAAGGAAGCTTCGGACATCGTGTTTTTTCTTGGTGGGAGCCATTCTTGTACTGCTTTTATTTTTATCGGGTCTGCTGCAACTCCTGAGGATTTTCGGAGGAAAACTAACTTTTTCTTGGAAGAACTCGCACTTT